TTTGTAGATAGGTTCATTTGTATCATATTTTAGATTCCACACATAAGTGATATCATATGATATTTGTCTTTGTCTGACTTACTTCACTTAGTATGATAACCTCTAGGTCCATCCATGTTGCTGGAAACGGCATTATTTCATTATATTTTATGGCTGAATAATATTCCATTGTATATATACAGTACACCACATCTTCTTTACCCATTCATCTGTTGATGGACATTTAGATTGCTTCCATGTCTTGGCTATTGTAAATAATGCTGCTATGAACATTAGGAGGCATGTATCTTTTTGAATTAGAGTTTTCTCCAGATATATGCCCAGGAGTGGGATTGCAGGATCATACAACTAAACTAAAAAACTCCATTTTTAGTTTTTTAAGGAACCTCCATACTGTACTGTTCTCCATACTGGCTGCACCAATTTACATTCCCACCAACAGTGTAGGAGGGTTTCCTTTTCTCCACACCCTCTCCAGCATTTGTTATTTGTAGACTTTTTGATGATGGCCATTCTGACTGGTGTGGCTGGACTACTTCACTCTGTATGACAGACTCTAGGTCCATCCACCTCACTACAAATAACTCAATTTCATTTCTTTTTATGGCTGAGTAATATTCCACTGTATATATGTGCCACATCTTTATCCATTCATCTGTTGATGGACACTTAGGTTGCTTCTATGTCCTGGCTATTGTAAATAGAGCGGCAATGAACATTGTGGTACATGACTTTTTTTGAATTATGGTTTTCTCAGGGTGTATGACCAGTAGTGGGATTGCTGGGTCGTATGGTAGTTCTATTTTTAGTTTTTTAAGGAACCTCCATACTGTTCTCCATAGTGGCTGTATCAACTTACATTCCCACCAACAATGCAAGAGGGTTCCCTTTTCTCCACACCCTCTCCAGCATTTATTGTTTGTAGATTTTTTGATGATGGCCATTCTGACTGGTATGAGGTGATACCTCATTGTAGTTTTGATTTGCATTTCTCTAATGATTAGTGATGTGGACCATCCTTTCATGTGTTTGTTGGCAATCTCTATATCTTCTTTGAGAAATGTCTATTTAGGTCTTCTGCCCAATTTTGAATTAGGTTGTTTGTTCTTTTGATACTGAGCTGCTTGTAAATTTTGGAGATTAATCCTTTGTCAGTTGCTTCATTTGCAAATATTTTCTCCCATTCTGAGGGTTGTCTATTTGTCTTGTTTATGTTTTCCTTTGCTGTGCAAAAGCTTTAAGTTTTATTAGGTCCCATTTGTTTATTTTTTTTTTATTTACATTTCTCTAGGAGGTGGGTCAAAAAGGATCTTGCTGTGATTTATGTCATAGAGTGTTCTGCCTATGTTTTCCTCTAAGAGTTTTATAGTGTCTGGCCTTACATTTAAGTCTTTAATCCATTTTGAGTTTATTTTTGTGTATGGTGTTAGGGAGTGTTCTAATTTCATTCTGTTACATGTAGCTGTCCAGTTTTCCCAGCACCACTTATTGAAGAGGCTGTCTTTTCTCCACTGTATATTCTTGTCTCAGGCCACTTTTAACATCTTACTTTTGTAATATGAACCCGAAAAATCATGACCTTTAACAAATTATCAACAATTAACTTTTGAAAATTGGTTTTCATATATTCTATTATCTCCTTTTGTAACTTTACTGTCTTTTATGCCTTCTTACTTATCCTCTCTATCACTTAATCCCTCTGTCACATTTTTCATACCTTTGTATTTCTAGGCAGAATTCTATGTTACTTCTTTAGATTTATTTTCCATTTCACTAATTGTTTCTTAAGCTTGAATTGTCTTCTCTTGAACCCTTCCACTATGTTTTAAATTTTATATATTTCCTCACCTAGAGGGTAAGCTGTATGAGGTCAAATATTTTTGTTTATTTTGTTCACGTCAGTAAACCCTACCACTAGTGTCTCTTACATGACACTAAATATTTAATTAAAGAGTGTATGTTTTATTCCTGGAAATTCAATTTGCTTTTTTTCCAATCTATTTGCTCAATTTGGTAGTCTTTTATTTCTTTGTCAGATTTTATTTCCTCCTTTTATTTTGTTAAGCAATAACATACTTTTCTGTATTCTGCATCCAGTAATTCCAGATTTGAATATCTTACAATTCTAATTCTGCTTATTGGTTCTGCTACCTTTGTTCAAAGTAGCTTGTTTTCTCATGTGTTTTAAATTTGCTTGAACTTTGTGGGAATTCTCTGAGGCCTAAAACAAAGAAAAAGTCCTCTAAGGAGAATTTGTGCTGATTTTGCTCTGTGCCTGAGGACACCAGTATCTACTTTAAACTACAATCTTTAGCCTGTAGTTCTTAGGACCACGAAAATAATATAAATTCAGCCAAATATGAAAGAGATTGTTAGGAGGAGACAGTTCTTTTCTTTAATCTCCATTCAGTACCATGCCCAATATTGCTGTCTGCTTCTGAGACAGGAGCTTTCCTTTTCTAGTTCATCCTTTACCTAAGGGCATAGCTCTTTCTATGTCCTGGATTTATATAAGGTGGTTTCCAATAAAATCTATGTCCTGCACTGACCCAAGACTTTGTCTCCAATATCCCTTGTGTTCCAAGCCTCTAGGCCACCCATATCCAGTGGCTTCAATATATGCAAAGGATTCAGGGTTCATTTATTGTCTTAGTCTGCACAGGCTGCCATAACAAAACATTACAGATTGAGTGGCTTAAACAACAATTTATTTTCTCACAGTTCTAGAGGCTAAAAGTCCAAGATCAATGTTCTAGCAGATTTGATTTCTGCTGAGGACCCTTTTCCTGGATTGCAGACGGCCACCTTCTCCCTGTGTCTTCACACTGAGGAAGGAGGTGGAAGCTGGAGGTCTCCAATGTCTTTTTACAAAGACACTAATCCTCTCAGATCAGGGTAGCATGCTTATGACCTCATTTAACCTTAATTACTTCCTCAAAGGCCTCACCTCCAAATATACCCACATTGGGAGCTAAGCCTCCAAATTCAATATGAATTTTGGGAGGACACAAATATTCAGTCCACAACATTTACCTCCAGGTTCTCCTGTTCTTCTTTATTCCTAACCTTGGAGAATTTTCATTAGTTTCTTAAAGGGCTCATTTGATTATTTCAAAAGAGTTTTTTTTTATTGTTGTTGAGTATTTTTAGATGTCACGCAGCAGGCATGAGTTTTAGAATCTCTAGCTTTCCACATTGCCAGAAAAAGACCTCTCTTCTCTATGTATAATCTTGCAGTAGGCAGTTCTAGCCAATTTCATATATATGCTTCAAATAACACATCTAATTTATATTTCCAGCCCTAACTTCTCTCCTGAGCTTGAGATTCATTGCCAGCTGCTACTTTAAATCTTTACTTGGAAGTTTATAGGATATTTAAAACTTAATGTATCCCAATCAGAACTCATAGTTTTCCTCTCAAATCTGCTCTTCCCCTTATTTCCTTATCTCGGTAAATATGAAACACTGAATTGCTCAAGCCAAAATACCGAGACATCAACTTTAATTCCTCATTTTTCCTTTCTTCCCACATAAATTGAAGTACAAGTCCTGCCTTCCCTATTTTCAACATAGACCCTCAATCTGTCTCCTTTGCTCCACCTTCTTTTCTACCACCTCTGTCCAAGCCACCATGATGTCTCATTTGGGTACTGCTATCACCTCCTAAGCAAGCACCCTGCTTCTACACTCAACCTCCTAAAACCAGGCTCCACAAAACATTTAAAGTGATCCTTTCAAAATGCAAATCACATCACATCTCAATAATTTAAAATTCTCTGTTTATTTCCCATTACAATTACAATACAGGTCTAACCTTCTTCTTGACACCTTATGAGGTCCTAAAAGTTCCAACAATTGCCCAGCTCTCAGCTCACCAAGTACATGCTCCCCTGCATTCACCACACTAAGAGCACTCTGGATCTCCTTCTTGTTTCTCAAATTACTTAGTTCATTCCCACCTCAGGGTCCTTACACCTACTGTTCACTCTGCAGGAACATACTTCCCTATGATCACTGCTTCATTGAGTTTTCAGCTCAAATGTCATATCCTCAAAAAAGACCTTCTCTAACCCCTCCTAAATAGTCCTCATTTGCTTCTCCAGATATCCTGTCTACTCTTCTCCATTCTCACCTGTCCCTCAGAAAGCTGACCTTCGTAGAATACATCAACCAGGCCTCTTTGCTCTCTCTTTCTATTGGGTTTTGCCAATGGGAAGCAATGGCGGGAAACAGAAGGGCAGAAGGAAAGAAAGATCTGGGTATTTCCCTGATTCTCCCCATGCTGAGTTGTTGGTTGGTGGTGGTGGCCATTTTTTTTTACCTAAGTTCTATAGCTATCACTTCCCATGAGTTTCCACTAATGGCTCCTTCCCTTCATCCCTTCAGGCTCAGGAGTTATAGTCACTTCCTATTTTGGGGTCTGGGGTGTTTCATCATCCATTGCTGGTTTTCCTTCATTAAAATTCCTTTTACCTTGAGTGTGCCATCCATTTCCTGATGTAATAGTCGGATAGGGTTGCCATAACAAAGTACCACAAACTGGGTGGCTTACACAACAGAAAGTTATTATTCATAAACTGTTATATCACAGTTCTGGAAGCTAGATGTCCAAGACCAAGGTGTGGATGGGGTTGGCTCCTTCTGAGAGCTGTGAGGGAGAATCTGTCCTATGCCTCTCCCCTAGCTAATGATGGTTTGCTGGCAATCGTTGGCATTCCTTGGCTTATAAAATCATCATCCCAATCTTGCCTTCATCTTCACATGATGTTCTCCCTGTGTGTCTCTGTGTCCAAATTTCTCCTTCATGTCGTATTGAATTAGGAATTACTCTAATGATGTGATTTAACTAATTACATCTACAATGACCCTATTGCCAAATAAGGTCACATTCTGAGGTACAGGGGTAGGATTTCTTAGAAATTTTGGAAGAAAACAATTCAACCCATAACACTTGATGGGACTCTGATAGATAGTTCTTATCTGTCATCATTCTCTATCACATTTCCCTATTTTATTTTCTTATAGTATTTATCATTATTTGATATTATTTAATTTGTTTATATGTATGTACATTTACTTTCTGATTTTCTCTCTCTCTCAACAGAATACAAGCTGCATGAGGGCAAGCTACTGTTTATCTTTTTTTTTCTTTTGCTTTAACTATTCAGTATCTGATGCATAGTAGGAGATCAATAAGTAATTACTGAATAAAGGAATAAATGGCAATATCTAAAGTTTGGTTTAGAATCTTAAACTGCTATAAATTCTAGTTATTATTGCATATAAATTATAACATTCATTTACTACTGTAACATCTCTGTCACCCATACAGGAAGTTCAGACTCTATTTGTATTTTAGGAAGCAACCTCATGAAGCATGAGGACGCTTGGTTGTTTTTTGTCCCAGATCTTCATTTACTCAATGTGTCATGTTAAGGAAATCTTGTAATCTCTCTGAATTTCCCCAAATGGGAATAAAAATGTTTCTGTCCCTAAGCAGGTTGTTGGTAATGTTTTCTAGCTTCAAAGTAATATAATTCCACATTAGTCCTTAGCAGAGATTAGGATGACAATGGCTCCACAGGTAAATCATCTTCACAAGTATTAGAGCACTTTTTAACCCTGATTTTACCCTCCTGGGCATAATGTAAAATCATGCACCTTCACATTTCTCTTCATCACAAAATCTACCAGAAAACAGAGGAGAGCACCTTAAATGTGACTCACTAGTGGTACTCTGCAGTGTCTGTATCTATGTGTCCATGGTGACAGGTACCAGCCCCCTTATATGCATATACACTCCTCTTACTATGGTGAGAAATCAAGGTTCATAGAATACAAAGTGTCCTTTCCTGCTACTAAGGAGGTTTTACCTAAGTTGTAGTTTTAGAGTTCCTCCTTCTGCTCTCTACATGGAGGACTAAAATGGAGTTACCAAGTTTTTGAACCAGTAGAACCACAGAACACTATAATCTATCCCCTAGTTACAGAGATGAGGAGATCAAGGCTCAGGACGATGAAGTGAATTATTTAAGGTCATTAAGTGTCTTTGTATTACCACAGAGGTGACCATCCAGGGAGGCAGACAATCCTGTCCTGATTTGCCTGGATAGAGCTCTCCCAAGGTGCTCCAGCCTATCCAACCTTAAAAACTCTGGACTTGGAGCTAGCTTGGATTCTAGGATTTCATTCAGAATGTTGCATCCTAGAGACCAGCTACTTCTTCCTTCTTACTGCCAGGGGAGAACTACCTTATGAGACAGAAAAACAACCCCTAGAAAAAATCAGTTTGCTCATCTCCTCAAGCCTTAACCAGCATCTTGGACCTCAGTCTACAGCAGCCCAAGAAGAGTCCATGCAACCACATTGCTCATCCTTGTCACTCAATGTCCCTTATCCTTCTCACAACCTCTTACCGCCATACTACTCTGAGATTCTTTACTTCCACCAAAGATATCTCATTCATTTGTCAAACATTTATCAAACACCCATTATGTCCCAGGCATCCTACTAGAAGCTGGAGATAACAAGTTGGCATTTCTTCACTCAAGGAGATAACAATCTAGTGAGAGAGAATATAAAGAGATAATTCTTTTAAAGGGTGTTAAGTGGAGTGCTATAGTAGAGAGAGTTAGGACTAAGGTATTCCTTGACTCAAGACCATTAGCATTAAGATAGTGAACACTTAATTCTTAGCATTTCTCTCATTCATTTCCCCTTTTTCATCCCTCCTGCTTCTGCCCTGGTTCCAGGTTTTATCATCTCTTGACAGAGCTAATACAACACTTTCCTAACTTTCTCTCTGCTTCCAGTTTCACCTTTGCCAACTTAACTTTCGCTTTTCTACCAGAATGATTTAGAAAAAAAATTGAAATCAATATGTCTGGAGTACAGTAGAAACTGAATAATGTCACTCCCTTTACACAATTCAGTAAAAACCTAATTCATACAGAAGTGCTTGCAAAACATTCCCACTGATTTATCCCTAATGAAGAGGGTAATGAAAACATATAATCCCTGAAGGTATTATTCAGTAAAATGTACAAATCTAAGATGTACAGCTCAGTACCATTTTACATTTGCATAAACACATGTCTACCACCCAGATCAAATACAGAACATTTTCATTTCACCCTAGAAAGTTTTCTCAAGCCCCTTCTCAAGTCCATCCTCCTTTCCAGAGTTAACCACTATTCCATCTTCAATCACTATAGACTCATGTTGCCTGTTCTTGAATTTCATATGTTTAATGAAATTATACAGTATGTACTGCTATTGATTTGAGTATCATTATTTTGTATCCAGTCACCTTTCTTAGGGCATCTAGATGGAAACTTTTAACCCGAAACTCCAAGACCCCCAGTGGCTACTTTCAGGGCCCCACTTTCCATATTGATTGCTTTCACCAAAATCTATTTCCTGCAGATATCAATTAGAGACTCAAAAAAAAATCTCATTAAAGGAAAGGAGATATAGATAATATATATCAAGGAAAATATCCTCACCTAAGAGTTTATATTTGTGTAAACATATGTTTACAGATTGACTAATCAGATAATGTCACCTTGATTTAAGGAAATACTTTTCTAATAGTGGCTCATCAGGGCCAAATACAAACTTACAAGGAAGGTATGTGAGCAAAAGGAAAACATCCAGAGGGGACTGAAGAAAATTGGCATTAACTGAGAGCTTATTATAGCCTAGGCACAGTGCAAGCTAAGCACTGGGAATTGAAAAATGAATATGCCAAGGTGGGAATGTAAGTTGCTGTAGCCATTATGGAAAACAGTATGGCGAGTCCCCAGTTGCCATATGACCCTGCAATCCCACTCCTGGGCACATATCCAGACAAAACTATAATTCAAAAAGACACATGCACCCCTATGTTCATAGCAGCACTGTAGCCAAGACATGGAAACAACCTAAATGTCTATCGACATATGAATGGATAAAGAAGATGTGGTACTTATATACAATGGAATACTACTCAGCCATAAAAAAGAATGAAATAATGCCACTTGCGGCAACATGGATGGACTTAGAGATTACGATACTAAATGAAGTAAGTCAGAAAGAGAAAGACAAATACCATATGATATCACTTATATGTGGAATCTAAAATATGACACAAATGAACCTATCTACAAACAGAAACAGACTCTCAGACATAGAGAACAGACTTGTGGTTGCCAAGGGGGAGAAAGGGTAAAGGAGAGATGGATTGGGAGTTTGGGGTTAGCAGGTGCAAATTATTACATATAGAATGGAACCATATTGGAAAAGAATTTTTAAAAGACTGTATATATATATGTATAACTGAATCACTTTGCTGTACAGCAGAAATTAACGCAACATTTTAAATCAACTATACTTCAATTAAAAAAAATTTTTAATGAATATGCCACACTATAGCTCTACATTGGTGTTACTTTTCTAGAAAACAATTTACTAATGTGTATCAAAACCCTTATAAAAGGTTTATATCTTTGTTCCTGTAATTCCATTTCTACAAATTTATCCTAAAAATATATTCAGATACAACTACAATATGAGAGATACACAAACATGTGGGAATTATTAAATAAGCTACAGTAAGTCCATTGACTTACTATGCTGGATATTACAGAATCTTTAAAATATATTCTTAAGGAATATTTAATAATGTAATAAATACTCAAAACATCAAATTTTTTTTTAAAACAAGCTACAAATCTGTAATATATACGGTGTAATACAAAGTATTTATATATATGGTGTAATACAAAGTATTTCTTGTGTGTGTATGTATGTATGTATGAGTAAATGTAATAATAGTGCATATGTACTAATACACACACGTACTAATACACTAATGTATATATGAGTAAATGTACTAATAGTATGTATGTACTAAAACACATATGTACCTGTACATACACACGTTAATTTACATTTCCTGACACTGTGACTAAAAGTACATATTTCAGAATACCTTTTGTCAAGAATAACTTTTTCATCTTTGTCAACTTGATAGGCTAAAATATAATGTTTTTTTAATTTAGATTTTTAGATAATAACAAACATTATATTGCAAATCTTTGATTCAGTATTAATGAGGGTATGAGGGAAAAAAGTACTCATACTCTGCTGGTGGTAGGAAGATTGATAGCTACTTTCAAGGGCAATTATATAGGATCTATTAAAATATAACAGAAATATACCCTGTGACAAGCAATTCCACTTTTCAGAATCTGTCTTCTAAAAACTACTTGCATATGTGCCCAAGGACATATATACACATTGTAACATTGTTTGTCATTAAAACAAAACAAAACAAGAAGAGCCTATGTGCTCATCAACCAGGGAAAGGCTAAATGAACATGGTATATCCATACCAAAAATATTATATAGCAATGAAAAACAATGAAGTAGTTTTAAAGACTGACCTAGAAAAATTTTAAACATATTTTTGAGTGAAATACAAAACATATTTTTGAGTGAAAAATAATATGTAGCATATGATACTATGTTTACAAAAATGAAACAAAAAGCAATATTACACATATTCCCAAATTACAAATGTACTATGAAAATACACAGAATAAAAAGGACACCCAACATATTTAATATGGTTACATTTCGGACAGACACTCAGTTTGGTGGGAACACGGTCAAAAGAGATTTCGACAGTCTTCATATTTTAATCTGTTTCAGAAAGAATATATTAATTTGTAATTACATATTAATTTAAAAATAAACATTTTTAAAAATCAAATTGCACCACTCCAGCCACCCCCATAGGGAGCGATAGGCGCTACTTTCAGTGGGCCCAGCTTCTCGCGCCTACGGAGCCACACATCGTGCATATGCCTCCATTCTTCACTGGCTATTGGTCAGAGACCTGCATTCCTTGACACACAGACTCCTCCACAGCCTGCTTGAACAGCCTTGTTTCATGGCATTTGGTTTCCCACAGAAGAAGTGATTCAGGAGGGAGAGAAATGTAAGCAGGTTTCTGGATCTCTCTGTCAGAGCTACTGCTCAAAGCCCTCCTGGAAGATATGAGGTCCACAGCAGGTAGAGTGCAAACAAAGAAGCTTCTCACTGTTCCCAGAATCACCGCATCTGAACACACAGCACACGATCCACAACAGCCTGAGAACTTCCAGCGCGGCAAGCACGGCAGTGGCATCAGCGGCCAATGGAAGAATACAGAGCAGGGTCTTGGTGCTCCGGCCGGATGTGAGGCCTGTGCCTCTGAGGTGGGAGAGCCGAGTTCAGGACACTGGTCCACCAGAGACCTCATGGCTCCATGTAATATCAAATGGTGAAAGCTCTCCCAGAGATCTCAATCTCAACGCTAAGACCCAGCTCCACTCAACGACCAGCAAGCTACAGTGCTGGACACCCTATCCCAAACAACTAGCAAGACAGAAACAGAACCCCACCTATTAGCAGAGAGGATGTCTAAAAAAAAAAAAATATATATATATATATATAAGGTCATAGACACCCCAAAACACACCACCGGACGTGGTCCTGCCCACCAGAAAGACAAGATCCAGCCTCATCCACCAGAACACAGGCACCAGTCCCCTCCACCAGGAAGCCTACACAACCCACTGAACCAACCTTAGCCACTGCAGCAGACACCAAAAACAATGGGACTAAAAACCTGCATCCTACAAAAAGGAGACCCCAAACACAGTAAGTTAAGCAAAATGAGAAGTCAGAGAAACACACAGCAGATGAAGGAGCAAGGTAAAAACCCACCAGACCAAACAAATGAAGAGGAAATAGGCAGTCCACCTAAAAAAGAATTCAGAGTAATGATAGTAAAGATGATCCAAAATCTTGGAAATAAAATGGAGAAAATACAAGAAACATTTTAAAAAGACCTAGAAGAACTAAAGAGCAACAAACAATGATGAACAACACAATAAATGAAATTAAAAATGCTCTAGAAGGAATCAATGGCAGAATAACAAGCAGGAGAACAGATAGGTAACCTGGAAGATAAAATAGTGGGAATAACTACCACAGAGCAGAACAAAGAGAAAAGAATGAAAAAAATTGAGGACATTATCAGAGACCTCTGGGACAACATTAAATGCAACAAAATTCGAATTATACGGGTCCCAGAAGAAGAAGAGAAAAAGAAAGGGACTGAGAAAATATTTGAAGAGATTATAGTTGAAAACTTCCCTAATATGGGAAGGGAAATAGTCAATCAAGTCCAGGAAGCACAGAAAGTCCCATACAGGATAAATCCAAGGAGAAACATGCCAAGACACATATTAATCAACCTATCAAAAATTAAATACAAAGAACAAATATTAAAAGCAGCAAGGGAAAAACAACAAATAACACACAAGGGAATCCCCATAAAGTTAACAGCTGACCTTTCAACAAAACTCTGCAAGCCAGAAGGGAGTGGCAAGACATATTTAAAGCGATGAAAGGGAAAAACCTACAACCAAGATTACTCTACCCAGCAAGGATCTCATTCAGATTCGACAGAGAAATTAAAACCTTTACAGACAAGCAAAAGCTACGAGAATTCAACACCACCAAACCAGCTTTACAACAAATGCTAAAGGAACTTCTCTAGGCAGAAAACACAAGAGAAGTAAAAGACCTACAATAACAAACCCAAAACAATTAAGAAAATGGTAATAGGAACATACATATCAATAATTACTTTAAGTGTAAATGGATTAAATGCTCCCACCAGAAGACACAGACTGGCTGAATGGATACGAAAACAAGACCCGTAAATATGCTGTCTACAGAGACCCACTTCAGACCTACAACACATACACACTGAAAGTGAGGGGATAGAAAAAGATATTCCATGTAGATGGAAATCAAAAGAAAGCTGAAGTAGCAATTCTCATATCAGAGAAAATAGACTTTAAAATAAAGACTATTACAAGAGACAAAGAAGGACACTATATAATGATCAAGGGACCATTCCAAGAAGAAGATATAGCAATTGTAAATATTTATGCACCCAATACAGGGGCACCTAAATACATAAGGCAAATGCTAACAGCCATAAAAGGGGAAATGGACAGTAACACTATCATAGTAGGGGACTTTAACACCCCACTTTCACCAATGGACAGATCATCCAAAATGAAAATAA